AGGACGACTGGGAAAAATTCCTTCTCCACAACCTTCAACAGGCAGTACAGGTCTGAATGGCACAGCGCTGTTGAAACAATCTGTAACCACGGGAATAATAATCAAATCCAAAGTCAAGGTTGTTTCTGGTGAATCTTCTGGTAAAACAGGAACTTTATGGAGGTACTACATTGCTCCAGGATCATTTCAGAGGATGAGAGGGCCTGCAAGTCTTGAAAGTGGACGTCTCACCTTGATGCGGACCTCATTGGCCTGGGGTGGTGCTACCTCTATCTCCTCAATCACCACAGGCTGCTGGGGCTCCCAGGCTACTACTGCCTTGCACTTGATGACCTAAAGGGGAAGTTGGAGGAAGAAGAAAATTCCAAGTCCAATGCACATGATTAAATTACTATAATTAGCCTCCATTAGCCTTTTTCAGCCTTAATTTTGAAAAATGAAAAATTATAGAAGGAAATAAAAGAAAGGAAATTTTACACTTACATTACCAGCAGTGGTCATTTCTGTAACAAAAAGGTGGAGAGATGGACTTGAGTAGTTACAAGTAGTGTGACAGCAGTTCATGGGGACACAAACTTATAATTTTCCTCTGTATTAGCAGTGTTAGTTCAAAATTCAACCAATCAATAACCCAGCAGAGTTCTCATATCAGAGAGCTTGTGATGCTTTCAAATGTTGTGAACGGTGTTCTTTTGAATGAAACTAGAGGGGGTGGGGCTTGTTTATAGCTAGACTTTAACTCATTTACCCAACTACTACCATTAACCAGTTAGGTTAAACAGACGTGGCTTCAAATACAAATGTTCCCCACATATGACATCCAAGCTTTATAATTAACCTATATGTTATGCATTTTGTAAAATAAACCATGGTTAAGTCAATAATTTGGTTCCAAACTTTAAAATGTGGATTTAAAAACAAAACTCTTCAAACCATGTTTGCAACATTTGCAAACCAGTTCATCTAAATGTGAAATATAGGTGTTAAATCAAAAAGTTGAATTTTAAATGTAAGGGTAAATCTAAACTCATCTTTTGCGATAACGCGACTATTTGAGGGCCAGTCTGCAAATGAATTGTCTGATCTTAATCTTAAATTGATTTCAAAGATGTTTTGAATCCAGGATGCAGACAGGTTGATTTGGAGAGGTACAATATTTGTTATCAAATCAGTCTAAAGCTTCAGATTTTCCACT